TAAAAAGTTGTTTTGTAATGTAGGGATCAGAGAATTATTTATCCCATCGTTTTATAAATCCTAAGACACCGTGGGCTTAGTTTACCATAGAAATTACATGATTATTAAAATTTAATTTTGGATCCATTAAAGTACCAATATCAACAAATGAATCTAAAGTTGATAAAACAGTAGCATTAATATTGTATTGCCTTGTTAATGTAGAAAATCTGGAAAAACACATATGCTTACATTTCTTTAGGTTTAAATCCATACAATTTAATTCGCACCATTGAAAAAGGCTATTTAAATAATTTTGAAGTAAATCAGCTTGCTTCATGGAGTTATGGGTGATAAACTTGACATCGTCAGCATACATTAGCAATTTGGAATGGATTATTGCATTTGGTAAATCATTTATAAATAGAAGAAAGAGGAGTGGACCTAAATGACTTCCTTGGGGAACATCGGAAGGAACATTAATGGATTTGGAGAGACAATCATCAAACAAAACTACCTGTCTGTGATCTATTTCGCAAATAAGATGATATTCATTTAACTAAATTTATACTGAAACCAATTTGATTTAATTTATATATAAAACGTTCATGGTTAACCCTGTGAAAAGCTTTACTATAGTCAGTGTAAATTGTATCGGTTTGATTACGCTAAATAAAACCTTTTATGACGGTTGAGGAAGATTGTTAATGGTTGAGAGGCCACTACGATTGTTGATATGGACTTAAGATTGGCTGAAATTTATGAGAAATAACATCAGTAATCAGTTTTTCGAATAATTTGGAATTGCACTTAATTTAGCAATTCCTCTATAATTCGAGACATTAGTTAAGCTACCAGATTTGTGTAAAGGAACTATATAGGATTTCTTCCAGAAGGTAGGAAAATGACTACATTTCAGGGTATAATTAAACAACGGCGTTAAAGGGATAGCTAATGTATCTGAACAGTAATTTAGAATTATGCTATGAATGCCATCCGGACCTGGACTTTTAATTGATCTTAAATTACGTAGATTTTTATAAACATATTGACTTTGTAAAAAAGGCATAGATATTTGATCTATCGTCGATAATTTATAACTATATGTGTCTTTATTTTGACAGGGTGAATATGAATATGTTGTAACGAAAAAATTTGCGAAGCACTCTGAAATTTCAGAGTTTTTCTCAAATGTCTGATTATTGAATTTCAAAATGGTGGGCTTTGGCTTAGCTTTTTTTTTATATTAACAAAGTCATAAAAAGATTTAGGATTGGATTTGAAATTATGTTTAATCTTGTTTAAATAAAGATTGTAAAGTTTTCGGGACTCTGTCGTGTATTTAGACCTTGCGACAGCATATCTAGCATAATCTATAGAGGAGCCAGAATTTTTATATTTTTTAAAAAGTTTTTTTTTTTATAATTTTTAATACTTGAAAGCCCAGATGTGACCCATGGATATCGTTCCGAATTTCTAACTCTAACAGTGGGAACACATTCTAGAATAAATTTATTTAGGATATCATAAAATTTATATACTGATAATTCTAGATCACTATGTCTCTTACAAATAAATAATGAGCTCCAATTTACGGAAGTCAGTTTTATAATAATTAGGAACAGATTTAAATGGCATTGAAGAATTTTTGGTGGCTAAATTATTATGCATAATGTAGGATGGTAGTTATCTTAGGGAGTAAATACTGGAGGTATTTTAATTATTTCAAAATATTGTGTATAATTCACAAATGCTAGATCTAGAATTCGATCATAACAATTTGATATGCTATTTATTTGATAAAGATTTATGTCGCTAAATCGATTTACAATTTCAAAAATATATAGGTTTACATTTGCATCAGATGTCAATGGTGTTAGAGACTCAGAATCTGGCAATGAAAGCCATTCATTTTGTTAGTGATTGAATTTATATTGAATTTATAAACAGATGTTGATTATAAATATCAAGTTGCGATGAGGGAGGAATATATGAGCAAGTCACCAATAATTAAATAATTCAATGGATATGCAAATAAATTCGATATCAAAACAGTTTAATGCAATTAAATTAGTGGAATATTTGGCATCAACAGCAATAAGGACGCCACCACCTTTTTAACAACACTATATTTTCTAAGTATTTGATATCTAGAACATATCTAGAAGATTTCACTATTTAACACATATGCTTTTAACCTTTAGAAATGAATTAGCAGGCCAAAATTCTCTCGAAATTAGTCGATGAAACATACTTTCTTGTACTACGATTTTAAAAGATGATCTACTTTTTGAGAAAGCAGACCGGAACTTATAACAACGTAGAAGGAAATTTCCAACGATTTTTAATTTTATATAATAATTTATATCCTCAGCCTGTTCTTTGACCAGGTTGGAGGGAATTGCTAGTGACAGCTACGGAAGAAGCATTAGATGATTGAACTGGTGATTCTCGATTTTCGAACAAATTGGAAAAATTCTCAAAAGTTTTGATAACGATGTAAATTCTATTTTAATCGAACCAAGCTCCGACTGCAAGTCTTTTACAAAGACTGAGAGTTTTCGACAATGAACACAGCACCAACGGACACCAACACTATCCCTAATTGTGTCCACTACTTTTGCATTAATTCGAGCACATTTAACGTTCCATTGCTTAAGGCAAAACCAGCAAGTGACACACAACTCATCATCTACAGAAATATTACATAATTCGTAAGGACAAATCATTTTTAAAAATTATTATTTTTTTTTTAATTTAAGGTGATTATTTATAACTCTTTCGAGTCGAGCTTGATGCAATGAAAAGGAAAGCCATGAGAAGAACCTACGTACCCACCATTATGCGACGCGTTTTGCCGTTGGTTAAGCGGCTCATCAGGCATATTGGGGTATGTGGCTTTACAAAGGTCGTACGTTGATAACTTGTATTTATTCCGCCCTGATGCGAAACTTGCATAATTTAATTCGCATATGCGAAACGAAACGGCGAAACGCCCCGCATAATGGTGGGTACGTAGGTTCTTCTCCTGGCTTTCCTTTTCATTGCAAAAACTTATATCATCAAGCTCGTCTCGAAAAAGTTATAAATAATCACTTAAAATTACTTTCAAATTATCACTGCCCTTACAAGGTAAAATTCAAATAACAAATATATATATATATATTATATATATTAATATAATTTATGAATTTTCTGGAATTTCTATCCCTTCAATTTCTTATGAAACACAAAATTTGGCAACTCTGTTTTGAGATGTCAAAATAAAATAAAAGAAATGTTACAACAACAATATAAGCTAATGTAACAAAGGAACAAATTGGGAATGTAAACAAAATGCCAATTAGAATTAAAATGATTACTTAATATTAGCAAAAATATGTTAAATTTCACAATTCCAATTAGATAGAAATGCACAAACATTATTTCACAACACTTTTAAACACTGTTACCACAAAAACACAGATTATATTGTTAGAAATTAAATATTTTTTAAACGAGCACAGAGCACCACAAAATTAGTGAACATTCACGACAGGGTTGCCAATAGACTTCTGCTCAGATATAATTTCATTGAATTTTTTAAAAATTGATTATTTAGTTGCTAGATTGTCTATATTGATTTGTATATGGTTTGTTATAGATTTTATATATTTAGATATATATATTTTTTGACAGTTAATGGTAAACAAATTCGGACAAAGTTAACGTCGGATATACAAATCTATAACGGCAATCTGAAAACTAATTAGCAATTTCTTTAAAGATAAAATAAACTTATAAATAAGGCAAAACAACGTTTGCCGGGGAATTGTAAATGTTACTTAATATATTTGTTTTGGCGGAATCTCACAAATAGTTTGCATATTTTCCTTATCTGACCACATACGATTTGTAAGTCCTTTGAATCGTCAAAATCGTTGCATACGTTCTTTAGTTATAAACGATGTAACTAACATAACGTTCGGTTATTTCAATTTCCCGACTTCTTGATGTTTTTCTCAATATTTTTTTTTCGTAAAAACCTTCCCAATGCTATTACAAACAGCCGAAGGAACACGTAAGTGAAATCGGTCCAGTCAATACACAATGCAAACATTTTTACATGTATAAAATACATTTGAGGAACCATAAAGGCAAATATAAGTTAGACACAAACAGCATGTAATGTCTCCATATAGTATTCGAATTTAAATGTATTCTTCCCCAATATAAGAAAATGTTCAATAATATCTTCGTGTTTTGTTGACGTCTTTGTAATCGTATATAGCGAAATACTAACATCATTGACCTATATTGATAGACGTTTTCGTCTTCACTGAAACATAAAAATCATTTGTCTATGTATTGGCAATTTTTCTCAAAAATATACCTGCTGTGTTTCCTATTAAGGACACGAAGTTTCGGTCAGTGGCCCACATATATGTATGTGGATATGTGTTGTATTTATAAGTTCAAAACAATTTGTTCCATTATTGTGCGTTTATAAGCATCCTTGTCCGATTTTAAGTACTTGGAAAGTAGTAACAAAATATCCATTTAATTGTCATTAAATTCGGTATTCCCCGAACATCTTCTTCGAACATCTTCTTTTGGGACCATGATATGTAGGTGTATGCCATCTATACATCCAACAACATCCGGGAACTTTGTTTTCGAATAAATTTTTTCTTATTCTTCTCCTTTTCATCCTCTGTTAATTTGGAAACAATCAATGTGGATTGAGCCATACCAAGGTGCAAGTCGTTGCCTCCGCAAAAAACCTCAGAACTCCACACACTTTTAAGAGAGGAGGAATTGCTGTTGACCGTCGGGCTTTTCGGAAACCAGGGTTTAATGCTTCAACTAAGTACACAACGACATATTTTGGTAGCCGAAAATACGCCTTAAAGCTAAAATGAGCAGTTGATTTAACATTTCTCCAAACATAAATATCTACTCACAGTACGGATGGTAGTTCTAATGGATTGGATTTATCTCTTAAATGTCTTCTAATAGATGATACGCCTTGCACATAATTTTCATCATCAAAAAATAGTTCCATGAGCTTATCATCACTAAATTGCAACCTGAGTTTGGTTGCTATCCATAATCGACCCATTACTCTCTGTTTTCGGTTTCTTATTAAATTTAACTCTGATGAAAATATATTTATTTTATTTCGGTTCATTGGTTTCCACGCTTAATTGAACCACATGATGGAGCAAAAAATATTTCATAGGAAAATACTTGTAATTTTCTTTTCGTATAATTAAACCCTGTTAATAGATTTTCTCGCTTAATTGGTTCAACATTCATGCCATCAAAAATAAATTTCCTTTTACTTTTCACCGGTTAATTGCTTATTAATAATTTAAAAATAATCTGCCATTTTTTGCATACACATTTGACATATTTTGTGAAAAAGACTAGGTGGGACCTCTACTAATTCAAAACATATGTTTATTGCTAAGGAGAAACTGCGAGAAAGCGTAATTTGTATTTGACATTGAAGTTCAAATTATACGTGATTACTGTAATGGAACAAAAATTGGAAAATTGTACTCTTCGAAAGAAAAAAAGAATAATATAAATCCATTATAAAGAAAATAAGTTATTCAAGTTTCAAATTGAAAATCCATGAAACCACGTTTTTCTCTATATTTACCGTTATTATATTAATTTTCGAAGTGACGCAGAAAAACCAAAGGTATTTTCGTGGTCCAGGGACTCCAACTAAACAGAATTGATACATTAGAACCCCTGAAAATTTTTTTTTGTTATTTTGTAGCACAGTGTAATTGACAATTACTTAAAGATACTATACGCTGCCAATTTTCACCAAAAATATGTCCAAGAAGAACTACGAAGAGATGAAATCATAAAGGTTCGATATAAAATGTGTGGACATGCTAATATCTTTCAAAATATATTTTGCAACATTTTCGCTGATTTTTCCCAAAATGTTCTTTCATTAAAACCTTTCAACTTCAATTACAGACTACAAAATGAGCGTATTTTGAATCATTAGCGAACGAATTTTTGCACACCCTGTTTTTTCACGGAAACGTAAATTATGCTATTTACCTCAAAACGCACAATGTTTTCAAAATTTGGATGTAAAATGCGAAGAAATGGTAAAATACTTCGGAGTCATCTTGGATAGAAAACTAAATTTTTGTGATCATATGTCATACGTCGTGGATAAAATCAATATGGTTACCAGGATTATGCACCCATTAATAAAACGAAAATCGGCTTTTAACAAGGAAAACAAGAAATTGATTATTTAATCAATTTTCCTACTAAGTTTTTATTATTAAGCACCTTATTTTCAGAGGTATCCAATAACCATATAAAGAAATTACAGATTGCTCAAACAAAATAATAAAACTGATATTCAATTTGCCGTGACACTACTCTACTCAAAGACTGCATACCCTTTCTTGATTTCTACTCGTAAAAGATCAACTAGAAGAATCTAGAACCAATTTTGCTGCACGATATATAGCTTCGTGTACTCCGTATTAATGAAATCGTTTTATAAATGGGCTTAACAACCCACCACATCTAGTCATTCATATCGTAAGGTTTATTTTTTTCCTTACATATACAATATCAGAATGTAAAATCATTACTTGAAATGTTAAAACTAAGTATGATAATTATATAGAAAAGGAAATATATTCTTAAACTCTTAATATATCGATCCATATTCGCCAAATAAACGTAACCTTCACCATAATCGATTTTCATTTTATTTGATGGATCAATAGTTTTCGATGATATACATCATCTCTAAAAATTTGGTAGCTGTATATTTTACCGTTATAATTTTAATTTTACAACAAAAACAAATTTATCGTCAGTTTGTTTACATTTTTGATATACGAGCGTGTGCGTTACGTTTATCTTCTCTTTTAATAACATAAATGAAGTATTAGAAAACACAATTATTTTAGTAATATATTACAAATTCATACTTTGGAAGCTTTTGATAACATATGTGATTTTATTAAAAAACTAGTAAAAATGTCGTTAAGTTTGGCCGGCCCGAACTTTTTATAATTATACCATGAGGTGTACATATAAAATATGAGATATGACAAGTTATGCCAATGTTTTAGTAGATTTAACACAAATGAGAGCACATTCGTTTAAAAAACGGGCCCACAATCCCCAAAATATACATATGTTATTTTACGTTATATGGGGCTATCCAAAAAATGTATACATTTTATAAATTGTTGGCTCGAAGATTTGTTTCATAATTTGAATTCAGAACATTCTCCCTCTCTCCCCAAAATAAAAAATGTCCACAATACCGATTATTTGTTGGTGCCGTTATTTCAAAACGTGGACCGATTTTTACAATACCAAACATCCTAGAAGTAATAGCAACGTATATATGTGCACAATTTTAAAGTTCTATAATAAATATTGCGGCCTCTATTGTAATTCAACAGACAAATGGCATAACAACATGCACCTTTTAATTGGTATTTTTGATACCTATTGAGTATAGACCATCACATAATGGTACCGCTTACTCTTTACGTTCTTCCCATCTTTTACTGTTTTTTATTTGAGAAAAATGTCTCGACATAGGTATATTATTATACCCTACACAACTATGTTGTCAGGGTATTATAGCTTTGTGCAGCCCCAAATGTTTGTAACGCCGCGAAATATTGGTCCTAGACCCACCTTTAAGTATACCGATCGTCATATCTCGACTAGCTGAGTCGATCTAGACATGTGTGTCCGTCCGTCCGTCTGTCCATTATAATTTGTAAACACGATACAGGCCACAGTTATGGACCAATCTTCACGAAATTTTGCATGTAGGATGGGTTCTGGCCAATGAAGACCCCTATTGTTTTTGGAAAAGATCGGTTAATATTTAGGGGATGAAATGGACCAAATACTAAATTTTTGTCGGTTTTTCTGGTCGCTCCAGAGGCCGCAATTATGGCCCAAACACCGCGAATTTTTGCATGGAGAAGGGGATCGGGTCAGAGAATAAGCATGCATGTTTTGATAAAGATCGGTCAATATTTAGTGGGTCAAATGGACCCTGACTTTTGTGTGAAAAATGACAAAATTTGTATTCTATGGCATACATATTTACTCCTGGAGGATGTAGACCCCAGGAGTTGATAGCATATCCAAGAGGAGTGGTTGGCCTTTAAATTGATACCAAATATAGTGATGTATCTACTCAGATGTGGGAGTTACAGTCAAATATTTACAGGTGCTTACGTATTCAGATATTATTCAGTAACCCATTACCACATTAGAGGGAGAAATATCGCGCTGATGGCTTTGACATTTTTCATGAAGTTCCAGTTATGGTCAAGAACAACGCCTACAATTTTCGGTGATGATCAGATTAAAATTTTGGGATGAAATGGACCGAAAACATAATTTTTTGTGTGTTTTCGAGTAGAGTATAATCCGAAAATCACAACACAACCCACCGTGAAGGTAATCTGGACAAGTAATTAGAAGGACTGTACTGAATATTCGAAAAAAGTAAGGAAGAGGTGTTGTTAACCTCTAATCGGACAAGAGGGGGCAAATATCACGAAATATTACTCAGACTCGGAATAAACATCCTCAGAAAGTTAGAGTTCGTGGTAGTTGTGTAGGGTATCGCATGGTCGGCCCCGTCCGACTATACTGCTCCGCTCACTGGTTCTTTACATACCTTGCAAATTGTTTCACATTGTATAAATTTAAAAATAACAAACTGGAATTATTACTGACTATTTTGCAATAACAAAATGTATAAAATAAATCAGGAAATATAGGGAAAACGTGAGTATACAATCATCACGAAGTTTATTTTCACATAGAATAATTTGTTAAGTGACAAATGCTCTTTTAAAAATTAATTTTCGCAAAAAATATGTCCAAAACGAAGTACAAACTGATGACATCCTAAAAGCTGAATATAAATTATGTTAAACGACCAATATCCCTTATAATATTTTTGCAGATTTTTCTAATTTTTTTCATAAAAATTTCAAATAATTTCAAATAATTTTGACATTTCATATATATAGAAGAAGATTAATAATAAAAAATATCTAAAATAACTTGTTATTTTTATTTGCAGATTATAAGATAACAAGCAAGAATAACGTTGAATGCGACGTTGCATTTGCAAACAATGACAACAATAAAGAACCAAACTTTGAATATGAAGAAGAATGGGATATTGACGGCATTCCCGAGTTACTAAATGAGTTAGATGCTGATATAGAGAAGTCTTTTAGAGTGGATACGCAACCAACACCGACTCGATTGCAAAATGAAAAATATTTTGTTAAAGATCACTTTCTGAAAAGCAGCCAAAACTATAATAATAGTGAGAAAAAAATAGAATCACAGGGCAACGTCGCTTCAAAGCACCGAAAATCATCGGTATTTACAGGATTCTCCAAAGGCGGTCATCTTATTTCATCAGCATCTAGTGCATCCCTAACAAAAAAATTAGCGTTTGAATCAGACTTCCCAGCTGATTACGATTATCAATTACTTAAATCGACAATTTCTGACAGAATGTCATCTCAAACCGTAAATAATAGCAACATCGGTACCAATGTTGGCTCCTGTTTAAGTAATGTTAATAGTGGTCAGAGCGGTTCATCCAATATTAATAAATCAAATACAAAGATGTCAATAGATCATCAAGCCACTTTGGATAAAGGGTTGAAAATGAAAATAAAGCGTACAAAGCCTGGAACGAAAAGTTCTGAAGCAAAGCATGAAATTGTAAAAGCCACTGAGCAGCAACAGAATGGAATGAGCGTTGTTGGCAGTAATGTCAATGGAGAGGAAAGTACAAATTCAGTATCGAGTGCAAATTCTATACAATCTTCTCAAACAATTGCTAATAATCAAAACGTAACCTCAACTGGCAACAAGAAAAATATAACTACCACTAGCAATCAATTAAGTAACAACTTTTCTCCAGGAAACAATTCCTGTCCAGTTTCTAGTGGAATTTTATCGTCTAGTATACAAAATCAAAATAACTCTTTAGGGACAAAAAGAACCAGCTCAGGCCATCGTCGCGAAAAGGTTAAAGATAAGTCATCACATTCCAATCGAAATTTAAACGATAAAAACAATTCTCAAATTAGCGAGAAAGAAACACAAGACAAAAATGTATGCAATTGTAATAACACAGACAATTCTACATCAATTTGTTCTAGTAATGTTTGTATTCGTCGCAACGAAGGTTCTGTACAACGTATATCAAACACTACTGCTACCGTACCGCCTGGGGTTTTTACACCTTCAACTGAAACACCGAATGCATCTGTTTCTGCAACAGCCCTTTTGTCTGTTTCAACAACCGCAACCGGTTCAACAGTAGTAACTCATTCTTCTACTATCAGTGGTACCGCAAATACACCTGGGCCTCCAAATGTAGGTGCTAACATTAAAATATCGTCCCACATCGCTGCACAATTGGCTGCTGCTGCAGCCTCGAATTCTATGAATGGATCAATAAGTCACTCTGACATGAAAGCATCAACAAATAATACAGAACATCAACATAAAACACCACCAGGTATTATTTCAGCAACAGTACATCATTCAATTAAAGTTCCACTTTCCAACAATAAAGCAAATGATTTGTCAGCATCTGCTAGCACACTGGCACCCTCAAATGGAAATAATTTAGCAGACGAAAGTTCAAAATCTCCACCTCCAAAGCGTGCGAAGCCTAATGAAGTAAAAACACAATCTGGAAATGCTATTAACAAAGAAACCGTAGACATTTGTATTGGCACATCTGTCGGCACAATTACAGAACCTGACTGTTTAGGCCCTTGCGAACCTGGAACCTCAGTTACTCTGGAAGGTATTGTTTGGCATGAAACTGAAGGTGGTGTGCTTGTAGTAAATGTGACCTGGAGGGGTAAAACGTATGTGGGAACTCTATTGGATTGTACTCGCCACGATTGGGCTCCACCAAGGTGAGTTATACGCTGTAATTTTATTCAATAATAAGGTATTTATACTGTAAAAACTAATTAATTTATATTTTAACCAGTGACCATATGATACCCTACACAACTAACACGAAAATCTAACTTCGGTTAGGTTAGGTTGAAAAGAGGGGTGGATGATACCACCACCACCAACATGAGAAGGACATACACATAAGCCATTTGAGACCTGTTGTGCGCTCTAAAAATGCTGAGAAAGTCAAATCAAGAGTTTGTGAAAGTTTATATTAAAAAACATTTGGGTTTGATTCCCCTTTTTTTTTGCGAACTCCCCCTCAAATCGCTTAGTCCGTGAAGAGTGTCATTTCCCAAGAATTGTCTCCGAAGGCATGTAAATGCTGGGCAATGGCACAGAAAATGTTCCAGCGTTTCACTGTCTTCCCCACACGATCTGCACATGTTACTACCTTCGCATCTAATCTTGACTAGATGTGCCTTCAGGCCGAGGTGTCCCGTCAGAATGTCCGTCAGTCGGCTTATTTCTTTTTTGTTTAGCGTTAGGATTTGCTTAATTTTGTCTTCACTTCGGTCACCCCATAAGATTTTGGTGATTTTTCCTGTCCCCTCATTATCCCAAAGAGTTTTGTGGGTCCCATTTGCCCACTCCCTCATTTCTTGGCGTGTTTCGCTAAATGGTTTGGCGGTATACACCTCTATTGTGGGTAGTGCAGTGGCACTCCTGGCTAGTTGATTTGCTATCTCGTTGCCTATGATTTCTTGGTCACCCGGTGCCCATATAATTCGTACATGTCCTTGTTGTGAGAAATCATTAATGGTATTTCTACATTCCAGTACAGTTTTGGATTTAACATTTTTGCAAGTTATTGTCTTTATAGCTTGCTTGTTGTCCGCAATAATATTTATTTTGTCCTTTGTTTGAAATTAACCAGTTAAGACAATCTGTTATAGCTTGAATCTCCGCCTCTAAGATCGTGCTGTGATCCGTAAGACGAAGAGAAATTTGTGCACCCGGTTCTTCGATAAAAAGTCCTAGTCCAGTTTTGCCCCCTAATCGAGAGACATCTGTGTAGCAAAAGTTACCAGGCGGCATCTGAACTAGTGTTCCGCTATTCCTTTGTTTTCTATCTGGTATTACAGTTTCGCACCATGTCACTACTCTGGTTTCTGGTATGCGGTCTGAATCAAAGGTAGTGAATGTTGACTAAGTAGTTGCCTGTAAAATGTTTTTGTGCGGTGTGTTGTGTACCGTGTCTATCCACTCGTCCATTGCTTTAAGTCTTAAAGCTGCAACCGCCGCTTCATATTTTATTTGGATATCTACTGGATGAATATATAATATTGCCTCCAAGGCCCTAGTTGGTGTTGTACGCATTGCTCCACATATTCGTTCCCTTTTTTGACTTTCTGCAACGTTTTTACGTTACATTTTTTATCCATTGCTGTCCACCAGACAACAGACGCGTATGTTAGAATTGGTCTAATAATGCTCTTATAGATCAAGTGTATCATCTTTGGATTGAAACCCCATTTAGAGCCTACGGCTCTTCTGCAGAAACATAAGCATCTTTGGGCCTTGTCTAGAATTACTCCCAGATACTTAACTTTGTTTGATATGGCTATCGTTTTGTTTTGGAAGATGGGCTCTTCACACTGACCTATTTTTGTCTTTCTAGTGAAAAGATTTACGTTTAAGCCCCCTAAGCATGCAGTGCTATATTCTGAGCCTGGGTAATATTTCGCTATATTTTATCATCTTGACCTATTATAGGTCAAAAGCTCAATTTTTTTAACCCTGACATATTTGTTTTCTCGAAGTGAACATTTGCGCCATAAAATAAAAATTTTGTCATTTTGACCGTCGGAGTATTGACACATTATAATCTAAACAGTCGTTCTAAGAAGTTGATCAGATCACCTTCACCGTGTTAAATTTGTGATGTTCTGCATATAATAATGGGTTCTAAAGCGACTAGAAACTCCGAAAAAATAAAAATTTCGGTGGTGCAATACCTAAATATCTCAATATAACCGGAAATTATAGGAGTCGTCCTTGACCTCTTGTGCGGGTAATAGTAATACTAAACAATATCATAACACATAGACGCCTTTAAATATTTACCAGGATTCGCAATAATTCGCGATAGCCGACGGACATACATGTCTAGCCAATCTCAGCTAGTAGATATGATAGGTATACTTAACATAGTTGTGTAGGGTGTAAAATTGCATATTAATAGCATTAGATGTTTCTTTATTTTCTGCGTCCAACTTTAATACATCAATTCTTATTCGTAACATTGGGTTTATAAATCTAGATTTTAGTACAATTCTTAACCAAATTATAACCACAGGAAAAGTCAGATCCAAGCATCAATAGAAAACACTGAATGGAATGTATAACAACATTATGTGTTTTCGAACTTCGACCTTAAACATGTATACAATTTTTGTAAATAATTTGAAATCCGGGAATGCCACTTTGTCAAATAGACACACAAATGTTTATATGGTTCAGATTGGGACTTGTGGTGTATTCAAAACTTTGCCACCCCTATCAATAAGCCACATCCACACTACACAACTGGTTACCAAATGTTTTTTTTTTTAATGTCTAAATATTGTTGTGCGTCCATCTTTTTGTTTATAAAAGCTGAATCTCTCACGCTTTTGCTTGAAAATTAAAAAAATACGCTCTTTCTCACGAATCTCACGGCGAGAATTCGAATGTTTTCAATTTATAGCGAATGATAAAGTTACAATGAATGAATCAGCATTTGCAATCTCTCGCGAATGTTCGCATTGAACGAAAAATTCACGAACGGTAAAATTTCGCTGCATGCGTCGTCGATACATTTTTTCGCGAGTATTTGTTGCTGAAGAGCATTCTTTTGAAAAACTCAAAAAACAAATGTTCGCGAATGCTCGCGAGCGCTTTTAAAAACAACAACAAACAATAATATCATAAAAACAACAACAAAAATATAAAAAAGTAAAAACACACAACGAATGAATGTGTGTTTAGAGAAACTATTGACTTCACAAACGATTGTTGTTATTCTTGTTGTGTTGTGGGCATTCGCGAACGTTCGCGAATGTTTTCATTCGTGAGCGAATGTCAGAAAGAATTTGAATCCGACATTTGTTGTTTTTATGAATGGTGTGAAGTCAACTTTTTGGAACAAAATATTTTAAAATGTAAACATATGTCCTTTTTTAGATTGAGAAAAATTGATTCACATTACTATCTTAATGAACGCATGGTGGAATCTGTTGTCTCAATTAATGATCTAGGTATCCTTTTGGATCATAAATTAAACTTTAGAGAACACATTGTTTTAATGACTTATGGAAACGTTGGCTTTATTAAAAGGTGGAGCAAAGAAATTTTGAATCATCATGTTATTAAACAGCTATACATTTCCTTTGTGCGTCCCAGCATATACTATTCATGCATATCATTCAAATTCATTTGAGACAGTACAAATTCTTCTATTATTCTGTTTAAGATGTCGTGGTTGTGACGCACAGTCATTGCGAATATAGAATATACATTTAGTCTGATTAAACTACCCGGCTTAAAGAGCAGACGCTCCATGCTTAATGTGCAATTTCTTTTAAATATTCAAAAAAATTAATTACAATAAATTAAATTACAATACTCAAGTGCAAAACTGAGCAAATACATGAATTGTGTAGAATTTTGAAAATATTCGAAAAATTTCAATTGATTTAAAATTATTTTTATCGAATATTGCTGATTTTGGACCTATGTGTCATGGACTTAAAGTACATCTTGCTGTTGATTTGTTTACGTACACAACAAAGCATAAAAAGCCTTACAACGTGATTTTGCCACATCGTTGCAACGTCAAAACCTTCTGTGGAAAGTGTTCTTTAAAGAATCCTTCGCGAAATGTGCAAACTTCTATGGCGTGCACAAATCAGCTTCTCCCGAATGTCCAGAAAGGAAGACATACATTGAAAAAAGGAACAAGTGAAAAAAGCGTTAAGTTGGTCCGGGCCGAACTTTGGATACACTCCACCATAAAAATACTGACGGGGAATATCTCTAAAAGGGGGTCAATGTTAATAATTTTTAGTAGGGAGATTTGTTACCATATACGACTACGAAATACCAAATTGCCGCAAAATCAGTTTAAAAACGCCCTCAAGAACCTAAAAATACCGAAAATTGGGGTTACCCTTATATGGGGGCTACCAGAAAGAATAGACCTATATTTATACTTTTTAGTGGAAAGATTTGCTACCCAATAAGAACTCAAAGTACTAAATAACAGCCAAATTTCAGCGAATACGGCTGAAAAACGCAATCAAGAACATCAAAATACCGAAAATTCGGGGGTACCCTTATATGGGAGCTATACCTAAACGTGGACCGATATAGCCCATCTTCGAACTTGCCTGCAGACAAAAGACGACTCTATGCAAAATTTTGGCGATCTATCTCAATTCGTTTAGACGCTAGAGTGATTACAACAGACAGACGGACATGCATAACTCGTCATAGAATTTTACGCTGATCCAGAATATATATATACTTTACTAGCGGCACACGCGCTTCGCTGCTCCTGCTGAAGTTATCATATTAATATTCCAGTAATAAGATTATTTGAGCTTGAGGTCTTTTTTTAATTAGTTTATTTATTCAAAGATTTCCCAATATTTCGCAATTATCAAATTGCATCTTCAGGGGTGATCTATTTAAGAAAACATACATTCAATATTATTATCACAGCATTTGGTGTAGACACAAAATAGTTATTACATATTTTCAAAAAAGAGATTTCTTAAATCTACATAATAATAGTAAGGTTTTTCTTAACAGCTAATGTAGTTGTACTACAATTGTCTATAGCTGATATTGCACTGATTATTCCCATGTATTGCACGATCTCTTCCTTGTCAAATTTCGATAACAATATGCTGCATTATCGGTATTGCTTTTATAATTTATATTTAAGTTTGTTGGTATGTTATTAATATGTAACA